AAATTTTCTGAATATCCTTAGCTGCATATTGGGCTGTGTGTGCAAGTATGTAGCCAGCAGCTTAAGGAAAGCGATTCTTCCTCTCAGTCTGGCACTTGAGATCACATCTGGACTACTGTCTTCAGGGAACACCAGTACAAGACAGACATTGGTGTACTGGAGTGAGTCCAACGTGTGACCACCAAGATGGTTAGGGGCTGAAGTACATGACGTACAAGGAGAGGCTGACTGGTTTTCTTTAGCCTTGAGAAGAGAAGGCAAAGGGAAGATCTTGCTTATGCCTACAACAACCTCATGGGAGGGTGTTGGGGAAAATGGAGCCACAGTGGGAAGCCAAGGGGCAACAGAAACAAACTGGAACATGAGATATTCCAATAAGATATGAAGGAAACATTTTATACGATGAGGGTAGTCAAACACTGGAATGCATTGACCAGAGAGGCTGATTAAAAGACAATTTTCTAAATATTAATTAGCCCCTCTGTTAAAACAGTTTTTCCGTATTTGAATGAATTGTGGTTAGTAGGCTGTGATGCCCTCTGCAATTTTGTTCTGATTGCTATAGAGTACTCTTGAGCATCTTCTGGTAAAGGTATATAGGCAGCTATTTGTTAGTCTGTACAGAAATAATTGAGTTGATGATTGATAGAACTAACCAAATTTTGAAAAAGTTTGGTGAAAGCCTATTAAAGATACCCAGCTATGTTTGTTAGATAAGGTATGACTAACTTGTATGGCATGGCTAATGGAATAGTAGAGTGTTGTAAAATAGAGAGTATATTTTATTATTCCAGTTGGAAAAAAAAACAAAGGCTTGTATTCCCAAAAGTATCACATCTTAAATGTGTATCAATTGGTCTAACAGAAGTAATTATCTTTGTGTAAAGACTTGCCCTTGCTTCTATCTGTAGTGGCTAGAGTAATACTTAGGAAATCTTTAAAAGTATTTTTTTCCCCCTTGAGCTGTCTAACACTTTCAGAGTTCCTGTCATTCTGGCAACTAAGAGAAATCTAGGAATGTATTATAAAATGGTATTTTTGTTCTTTAATTTCAAGGGAAGTTATCCAAGATAGTATAGCTGGAAGGAGTAAAAATTAAAAGGTTCTGTGCCATCTCTAATAGCAGTTGTTGGTTTTCTGTCCTGATTGCCTGCAATTGTGGGGTGAGTTCCTCTTCATTTGGGGCAGGGAAGGGTTGTTCGGGGTTGTGTGTTTGCATGGGGTTTTTTGGTAGGTTGGTTGGTGGTTTTTTTTTTTTGGTTTTTTTTTTTTTTTTTTTTTTTTTGTTGTTGTTGTTGTTGTTGTTTTTTTTCTCCTAGCCTTATCCTTAAGGGGAACACTGTTGAGATGTATGAAATCAGTCAGGGCCTAGTATAATGGAGAACACAGCTTATAGTTCAGGTAGGCATAGGTTAGAGTGGTTATAGTAAGGCTGAAAGGAATAACACTTTTTTGCCAGTACTGTTTGGGACATTGCTCTGAATGAAGAACAATTCCAGAAGAGCTGTGAGTTTCTTGACCTCTACATTCCCTCTCTACCTTTACAGTGTGAAGCTGTGCCTAGGAACTTATTGTTAATCATAATTGTACTGGAGTTTTCTATGCCTAATAGGTAATCATAGGCAGGTTTTCTTTGTGGATTCCCTTACTTCAAAGTGATAAATTTATTTGCTAAAGCTTTGTTTTATTTCATTGCAACACTAGCAATGTTATAGGCTTGCTTTTCTGGGGGACTTATGTTATTGAGTTTCTCTGGCTTAACAGTCAGATAACATACCCATTTTCTACTGAATGTGCTCTTTTCAGCTTTCTATGGGAATGACACATTTATTGTTTCTTATTCTCACAGAGAGCTGCAAATATAGGTCAGACTGAACTTATGTTCATACTAGTTTGACCTGGCTAACTTAGAAATGATAATTTCTTTTTTGTATTTAAAAATATGATTTTGTTTACTGTGATATGTTTGACCCAAAGTGTAAGTAATATCTCCTGCTATTTCTCTGAGATGCATTTTTGGATCTTAACATATTTTGTATTGCAGCTGATGAAAAGCAATGTGTTGTCTGTATGTATTATTTGTGTTTAAGGGACAGGCCCTAAGACAGTGTCAGCAAATGTGTTAAGCTCAGAGGAACAGAGCACTTCAGTGGTCCTCTGCTGATCAAGTACACATTTTAATTATTTTTTTTCCCCTTAAGTTACCATTTATTTAGAAAGATTCACAAATATTCTATGTCAGAACTGAAAAGCTGTGAAGCACGTGGATAGAATCTTTCTGTACTGGTGAGATGGATAAAAGACTGACAGACTTTATTAGACTGAAAAGACTGTTGCTGAAGAAAAGGGCCAAAGGTCGAAACTTCAAATGAGCGGGTATTATAAGTGTTGGTAATTTAGGATTTTTGGTAGCATACAGAACAAATAAAATTTCCTCTTTTCAAATTACTGTGTTTGATCAGATACTGATCCGATTGAGAGTTGTTACACAATTGGTCTATGTGCATAAGTAAACGGACCTACTGAATTATCTGCTGTTCTTACATACATTTGTTCTTTACTGTTTTTTTTTTTTTACCTAGTTGTCCTGGTTTGAGCTGGGATGGAGCTAATTTTTTCTTCTTAGTAGCTAGAATAGTGCTGTGTTTTGGATTCAGTATGGGATTCGGTATGAGAAGAATGTTGTTAATATACTAATGTTTTCAGTTGTTGCTGAAAAAATCAAGGTCTTTTCAACTTCTCATGTCCTGCTAGTGTGCAGGTACACAAGAAACTGGGAGGGAGCATGGCCAGAGCAAGGGACCCAAATTGGCCAGTGGAATATTTCATAGCATCTAACGTCATGCTCAGTATAGATCTGAGGTTTGACTGGGAATCTGGCTCTCGCTTCCTGGATTGCGGTTTCGGGATTCTCACTTCTCTGGGATTGCTGCCCAGGAATGGGCTGGGCATCAGTCAGTGGGTGGTGAGCAATTGCATTGTGCATTACTCATTTGTAGCTTCTATTATTACTATTATTATTTTATTTTATATCCGTTATTAAATTGTTTTTATCTCAACCTACGAGTTTCCTTCCCTTTTACCCTTCCAGTTCTCTCCTGCATTCCCTGGGGAGGGTGAATGAGCAGCTTCGTGGTGTTTGGCTGATGGCTGGGTTTAAATCATGACACTTAATGTTTCCAAATCTCCTCTTTAAGGGAAAGAGTTTGAATTTTCCTTATCATATAAGGTTCTCATCTCTGAACTTCTTAAATAATTCTTTATGTAATGATCTATATGACAAGGTGTATGCAGGTTGACTAGCTTTGAGGTTTATTTGATGGTGGTCTTGGAAAGTATCAGAAAAAGAATTGACTTCAAAACATCTCTGCCACTCAAATTAAGGATTTGTACAATGGCTTTGGAACTTTGTTCTTTTGCAGTTTAATTCATAACAGTGATGTTAAACACTGTTGGTGTCTAGTCTGAAATTTTCTTAAACTGCAGAAAGCAAAAGATGAACACGATGAATCTAATCTGTTTTTCACTCTGTTGGCAATGTATATAGCTTTCTTATGCCAATGCTAGCATTGTTTTTTCAGTTTGTTTATATCTGTACACCAATTATAATAGCCTTTAATGATGTAACATTTCACTTCAAAACATATTTTAATTGCTTGCAAATAAAAGACTTTTAGAGTGTGTATCTGGGTGCAAGGTAGGAACTTTTAAAATAGAAGCTTGAAGCAAGTTATCAGGGCTGCTTTATAGAGACAGAAAGTTATTTCAGAATGGAAATGGTGACTGTATGACGGCCTTTTCTTTAGGAGTTGTGTGTCCGAATTTGTTCCAGTCCTATTTCAAAGGTATTAAGGAGATACTGAATCACTTCTATGTTGACAAATGAACACTTTATTTTCCTCTGTGGATTTTTTAAAGTTCTCCTAAGCACCAGAAAAGTTGTTTGGAAAATTAATAAGAAACAGCTACAAATGTGGGATAAACCTACATTTAAAAAAAATTGTATGTTGAATTAAAATTGGATACTAACCCCCAAACCATATATTTTTATTCCTCTTAAATGTAAGGTCATTTTGACTAGCAGGATGATGGAAGTGGACTGGTAGGTGGTAAACCTTAAAATTGTTGGCAGGAAAAGGGAGAGTAAGAAATGAAAGCCTTGAGCTCTGTTATCTAGATGGCTTTGAAATGAAAAAACACATTGCGTAACTGTTTATATGGAGAAAATACACTCTGAAAGCAGTGCCAATGATAGCACTTCACAGAGGCTCCACTTCCCTTGCTCCATAGATTGTAAGAAACAGTTGTGGTAGTTGTTATGGAAGCGGCTGGTTGCAGTTGCTGATTTATCCCTGTCAAAATACGTAAGAATTACCAGAGCTACTGATGTAACGCTTTTCTAAATACGACGACTCTGTAGATTCTAAAATGCAGTTACTATAAAGTTATAAAATAGTTTGTGTTCTGCGAGTCACATAGTTCTGTTTTAATTTTGTGTTGAGTTCTCTAGGATGACTTAGAACAAGGCAAAGGCTTGCACAGATGCCAGATAGAAGTGTCTTAAATTACATAGAGGAGGAAGAGTTGTGCTGTTAAGATCCTGGAGATTTAATTGCAAATCTGATGCTATCAGGGTAATATGAAATGTTCACTGCTAGGTGTAGAGCTCTGATTGACATCCTTGTAATACAACAAAATTCTGGATGCCTCTGTGTACTTCGTAATGCAACAGTTCTTTGCTTAGCAGTGTTGCAAATGTAAGCGCCATTGCATTTTACCAAAAAAGTAAGTTTAAGGCCTGTAATTTTTTTTTTGCCTGTGACTTTTCAGTTTAATTTCTAGGAGAGGAGTCTTCCTTCTTTCTCACCTTTTAATTTCACTTTGCATTTAAAATTTCAATAAAACTCCTTTTCAATAATTGATGAAATGTACTTTAGTATGCATGTTTATTGTTGAATTTCTATTTAATGCTTCAAATATTCTATACAATTTCTTTGTAGAAACGATTACAAAAAGAACTATTGGCATTACAAAATGATCCACCTCCGGGAATGACTCTAAATGAAAAGAGTGTACAAAATTCAATTACACAGTAAGTATACATGCTGTTTTATTTTTGCTATCAAGCTGAAAAGCGTAAGTAATGAAGTTCTTTGCATGCCACTTTCACCACTTATTCCAAGTAACATTCTGAATTTTTGTTTCTAGTCCAGGGAGTGAAACATTGTTATGCTTAATGAGCATATTGCAGTAATGTGCTGGACACTTTCAGAAACTGGGTAGTGAATTCATTAAATATTTATTAGGCATTTTACTGTCTAGCAAAATGTCAATTGGTAAAAGCTTCTGCATATTTTAGAATAAAATAATTTAACAATCTTTCATAGCAACTAACCTCTGAAACCCCTCTAGATTTATTGAAATAATGGAGAGCCTGGTTTAGAGTTTCTACGGAAGTTTCTAAGGAAACTTCTTAAAGAGCAAAGTTATCTAAATACATTTGTTTGCACTTTCCTCCCTGCTGTATTTTTTTCTGTGATTAGTGAAATGGAAGGAGAAACATGGTTCAATATTCTATGTTCTGTCCATTGAAATGGTCAGTTATTGTTCCTGGTATTAATTCAAACTATTTTTTTAACTGACTGAAATTCGAAAGATTTAGACTGTGTTGTCATTTCTTTTAGGTAATTTTCTTAGTTTAATTTTAGAGAAATGTTAAAGAATTCTTAGCAGATGTAAACATTTATGAGAATATGACCCTCAATCTATATGTTCTGGACTATATTACTGATGGATGGATCAATGTATAAATATAACATAGAGCTGACTTCTGATGTTGCTTCACATCTGCATTTTTAGTGGTGGCACTCAGGCCATGTTACACGAGGCTTTTCTGAGCTTTGCATATACCATGTTAAACACTGCTTTTGCTTTTTAAATGCTGCTGGGTTTTGTGATACTTCATGCAGGTGAATCTGACTAAAACAAACTGAAATAGCGCTTTCCAGAATTTGGTACAAATAATAATAAACTGCTCTACAGTTGCTGAATGACAGCTTGTGTCTCTTGCTTTACTTTGGGTTTTCTCTGGGAAGCAAAATACTTACACTTTCTGAAAAAAAAAAAGGACTCAAACTAATATTACACTCGTTTAAATGAAAACAACTATTAAGTGAAAATTTACAGCAGATGAAGAGATGGACAAGCAAAAGAAAATATGTTGGATTTTTTTCTGTTTGTGAATTTCCATTTTTCTTAGGATGTCTCTGTTCCCAGAGTGCTACCTCATTTTTTCCTGCTGTGTATAATTTTTATACTTTTCAATACCTTTCAGATAAAAACTTCCTGTTTACTGTCATGCTAGATTTTGGAACTGTCACTGTTTAAGAATCTTCCTGTCACAAATAACATCGTATCTTTTATCGTCAAGGGTTTTTGGTGCCAAGTAGCATGTTCAGAGTTTGTTAGTCAAGTTACAGTTTGAACTGGTGCAGTAAAGATTTGTGTAGTGATACTAGCTTGGGTTTGAAAGATATTGAATAAAATAATTGGATCCCACGATGTAACTGGGTCATTTGAAACGTTTAGCAATCGTCTAATTTAAATATGCAAGGATTAGAAATTTGAGATGGCTAAACTGTAAAGCACACAGGAAAGATGGGTTCTAGTGATTCCTTGACCATAAAAGGAGCAATGTCCAAGCAGAATTATCTTCTACTTAGTAAATGAAACTATTTTAAAAACTTTAAAGTGGAGGTTCTGGATCACAAGAACAAATAAAGCTGAAGAGTACTGGTGCACTATGTGTATAAATGTAAAAGCAGAAGACATATGAAGAGATAAGTGGTCTGGAGTACAGATAGATTAAATCGAAGGAGTGTTCACAAAATTAAAATATAGAACACTAGTACAGCCATCACCATGGTACTGTTGGAGATGCATTCTTCCTGATGAGTGTGACAGCTAGCAATTCAGTAGAGAAGCAATTTTTCTCCCCCAAAAATAAAAAAAAGGATTAATAGAGGGGAAGATGAAAAACGTTCACGGCTTAAATACACAGGAGAGTTTATATGACAGGAGGAGGGAGAGTTTGGGAATAGGATCATCAGGACTGCCAGCTGGAGATGTTGACTTTTCTGAACACATTGCTGTTCTGAAAAATCTCACCTGCCTCACTTGAGTCTGATGTAAATCTTATCCAAGCATTTTTGTAGTCTCTTGCTGAATCTTTACCATATCATTTTGCTCAAATGTGTAAAACTCAATCAAGGATGGAAGACAAAAATGGGGAAGTGATTCTGCAAAGGGTGGTATGAAGTGAACAACAATAAATCTGCAAAATGACAGAAGCTAGCAAAATGTTGCTGTATGTGTTGAACAATACGCAAAGCATCTATTTTTGCCTGGATTAAAAAAAAACCAACCACCCAACCCAAAACCAACAACAGTAAGGCCCCAGCCCCTGGCAACTCCACCTGCCAGTTACTTTCACGTTGTTATGATGGAAGGATCAGAAGCAGAGGAAAAAGAATACTGTAGTATGTTGAGGTGTCATCTTTATTACAGTTGCAAATCGTCCTTTTCTTGGTTTTGTTTTTCATTTTCTGTGATGTTTCCCTTTTTATACTGTTAATTCTGCCAGTTTTGGTTCCGTTACCTGCCAGGTTATATACTATTTAATTTCTGAGTTCTTCACATATGTAAGTGCAAGAGGAGCATTGCCCTTCCCCCTTGGATACAGATTTTATTTTAATAAACTGTATTGATGATTTCCTTGACAGAAAAGCAGAACAATATGAAAGAGAATGCGTATTTGTTTCCTTCCAAGCGTGTTTTTTTGTGTAGGAATAAACTTTGGAACAGGTCTTTTGTTTCAGCTTTGTTGTCTCACAGTAACAGTCATTTTAGTGGGAACTGATGGGTCTGTGTTGAGTTCAAGTCATAATTACGTGTATAATTTGCAGTACTGTATCAATGCCTGTATGTAAAATATCAAGCTTGTTTCTTTCAAATGTAGGCTTGATGTGTTATTCACCTTTGTGATTGTTATACTTATGGAGAGTTTAGAAGATTTAGATGTGATTGGTAATTGGTTTGATTAGTCCTGTGCTCCAGGAGTATAATTATAATCTGTCAGTCCACAATGCTAACAGTTTTTTCCCTTGTTCCTTAGGTGGATTGTAGACATGGAAGGTGCTCCAGGAACACTATATGAAGGGGAGAAATTTCAGCTTCTATTTAAGTTCAGTAGTCGGTATCCTTTTGATTCGCCTCAGGTAACTGCTTACTTCCTTCTTGCTTAACGCTACCTTTAGGTTCTAGCTGCATGACACATGTTGAATACTAATATCATCCACGTATCCTAATGTGATGTTTAGTTACTTTAATTTGCATTAAACACATCATGCAGATACCTTTTCTTTTAAAAATTACTCTGCAGTGAGGTATAGTGCTGTGACAGTCTACTTGGTTTCACAGGAGATGAAAGAGCAGTGTGAACTTGAGGCTTCTTTGAGGTTGATATTCATATCATATGCAAGAGTAACAGGGTAAAGAAGGAAGATCCCCTTTACCATGGTATAGGAGTAGAGTAAGCAACAAACTGCTGCCTGTCCCCTCTCTTTTTGCTTCCAACTTCTTTTTTTCTTTTTTTTTTTTTTTTTCCTAGTTTGTTTTTAAGCCTCTTTCATCTTCTCTGCTGCCATTGTTAATACAGCTGGAGAAATACTGTGCTTGTGGTAGAGATTCTCATAGATACATGACATCTTTGAGAGGCCTGCAAACCCAGTGTTTATAATTGAGGTGAGAGATAGTGTGTTGCTTTCATGGCAACATAAAGAACTGAAGGAGCAGTTGGGCTGCAGAATGCGCTCTGTACACTGGTCCCACCATTACCTGAGGGAAACATTCCAAAAACACGGCTGGTAGGAGTAGCGTGTTCAGCTACCACCCTCTGCTTTGCTGAGAAAAGAAGAAGAAAAGCAAGGGTGCTTTAGTTCTTGTCCTGTCTGTTTCAGCTCAAAGTTCCAAGAGTGATCTCTGACACTTTTCTCATTGGTGTTGAAACTGAAGCACAGAGCTGTGAGAGACACTTAAACCATAAACATTACATATTTTTAGGTATTGTGTTAAAAACTAGAATGCTGACTTTTCGGTCTTAGGTTTTAAGGAACAAACTGGACACTTGTACTTCTGTACCTCATCAGGTTTGTAGTGAACTACTCATAGGTGATTCACAAGAGAATAGTCCCTTTCATTTGGTTTCAAGTAGGTACTGTTTGTACTTATTACCCAACCTGTGTGTGTGTCTCTGCAATTTATAGTAAAACACCAAATTAGATCCATTCGTATGCACTGGTTTTTAGCACAGAAAACAATTAAGAATTGAAGTACTGGATACTTGATTGTTTTAGATGGCTAGAATTTCTGTTATAAAAATGCTGCTGTGCAGTAAGTTCATTCTATATTACAAACCTCTGGGTCATAATTCTCTCTCCTGCAAATCTACTTAGTGTGAATTGATGGTTTACACTTCTGCTGTTTAACTACTTGGTTGTTTTCTGCCTTTAAATGTATGTCATCTGTCATAGTGTGCATGCTTTTACTTACCTAGTATTCCGAGTTCTGGTTTTCCTATAAAAGGAAGACATTAGTTAGAAATGAAGTACAGTACTGGATTATGAAGGTAAGCTCTTCAGTGCTTAAGAAATAGTTTACAGACCTATGGAAGATCATTTCACTTTCATTATTTCTAGTTTTTCTGCTGCCTTAGAAACCTGCCTTCCATTTGGCAAGTAGATTAAGCTCTCTGATTTGTTTCTTGTATGATCAATGTGTTGCTTCTTTCTTCTAGTCAGTGATGAGGTGGGTGTGTAGTGTACATGTATACATATCTGTACACATACATGTATCTATATAACTTAGGAAACACTTAAGAGGCTTCTGGGTATTATGATTATGAGTGGCAAAGATGTATTATGTCATTGCATAAAAGATGACAGTGTTATGTTGGATAAGGAGCTCAGGAGGATAATGCTGCTACAAAGGTTTCACTTTTACTCCATTTCCATGGGTCCTGAGCCAACTATGAGTTTGACAAAAACTTGATGAAAACAATAATTGTCAAAATTGCTTCTCTAACCACTTTTTGACTGTGATATTGTCTTTTCATGGAGAGGAATTAAGGTTCTAAGTGCTGTTTTTCCATATTCATCCATGTCAAATAAAAACATATTTCATTTGAAATAATGATCTAAAAATATTTCCTTTATGGTAACATACTTCAGTTGTACAAGTCCTTTATTTTATAATTTATAGGATTGATGCATCTTACACTTTATTCTGGAACCTGGATGAGTTGTCCAGAACTTAATTTCTACTGTGTCCAGGGTTATAGAAATATTTATTTGTGTATTTAGTTGTGTTTCCTGGTGTGTAACATTGTGGCTTATGGAATCATTAAAATCCCGTGTGTTGGCTAGGCAATTGCATTTCTTATGACATGAAAGACTGAGACTGCAATATATTAAAAGTTCAGTTTGCTGTCTTTACACTGTTACCTTTGCCTTTTTCTATGCTGTATAAATATTCATAGAAAAAAACCCTTGCATTTAACCATTTATTTAACTTCATTTTCGCTAGCTATTTAGGCTTCCATTGTTTTATTTTGCATTTCAATTAATAGCTTCCAAAAATGAACCAACCTAACATGGTAAAGTCTATTATTTAATGTAAGTGAAAACGACAGATCCACTTCTTAAATAAGATATTGTTTTCCCAGAAGCAATACAGTCTTATTTAAACTGTGGACAATAACAATTATGTTTGTTCTTATTTTTTAGGTCATGTTTACTGGAGACAATATTCCTGTTCATCCTCATGTTTATAGCAATGGTCATATCTGTTTATCCATTCTAACAGAAGACTGGTCCCCAGCTCTCTCAGTGCAATCTGTTTGTCTTAGCATTATTAGCATGCTTTCCAGCTGCAAAGAAAAGGTATGGGCTTTTTTATCACTGTTGGAGTAGAATAAGCAAAAGTTAATAGTTTTCTACTTTGCAAAGTAAGACTTTATTTTCTCAAATTCTAAAATAGGCAAAACTACTTTAAATTTCTACTACTGGAAAAACACTAATCTAGAACTGCAAAATAAACAGTACAATAAGTATTTTGTCACTGTTTTAATGGTAACCTGCTCATCTGTCATTATTGGGAAAGAGGAGAGAATTGAACCCTTCTAGTTGTACTAATTGTGAAGTTTATTCATGGTTGAGGACAGTTCTTTGTAAATCGATTCGGTCTCTAAAGGCAGTGCAAAATGACTGTTGGAATGTCTTTAGTGCAGATGTTTGTAAATGGTTCTAAGCTGCTTTTTAAGCTGCTTTTTTGGCCATAGGTGGGTGACACCAATACCTTAGACCTTTTTTTTACGAAGAGATTACCCTTTTACTCTTGACCATTTCTTTCGCAGTGGGATATGTGTGAAAGTTAGATGTGGTCAGAGCTTGTACATCTGTGCTATCCAAACATGCATCTGTATGTCACATCCTAACCAGTCCTAATCATGTGTATGTGGTAGAAAAACACCCCCACAGTGGCTTTTTATTGTACCCTATAACTTCAGTTCTGCATAATGATGACACTTCTGAAGAAAGCTGAAGAATATGAAGTGTTGATTAGATATAGATATTTGTTTCAGTTCATTTTTTTTTTTACCGACTCCAAGTTGAGACTTATGGATGTGAACTAGATCTAATATATCAGGATTGGATCCCAAACTGCAAAGGAATTTGATTTGGGGGTTTTTTGAACTACAGCTGTTCCCTTCTTGTGGGTGTTTTTTTTTTTTTGTGGGGAGTTGTTTTGTTGTTGTTGTTTATTTCTCCCCCTGTCTATCTCCAATCTGGTATTTTTAATGAATTTTTTGCTTGGAGTATCTGTGGTAATTGTTACCTGGATCCTTAAGAGATTTTTCTTGACAAAGGTCTAGCCCTGTCTGTTGCCTCATTTTCACTACATTTGCATGGTAGCCTTTCATAAGCTTATTAAGTAGCTCACGTCTTACAGTGTAAGGATTGTTTGATTATTTGTAGGTCTTTTCTTCTGTTGCAGAGGCGACCTCCAGATAACTCATTTTATGTAAGAACGTGTAACAAGAATCCAAAGAAAACAAAATGGTGGTATCATGGTAAGTATTTAACAAGGACCAGGAATTTTTAAGTTTTTTTCAGAGTGAAGGCAATTAAAATGTAGGAAAGTAGGAGAAATGCATTCAAAGCCTTAAGCTATTTTTTTAATTCTCAGAAAGTTACTAAAATGCCATTTCTGAGATACTCTGCTGTGTTTTGTTTTTGTTGTTTTTTTTTAATATCACACTTCATTAATTCCTGATGGAAATTTAAACAGCACAGATTGATATGTTTTAAATTGTAGGACTGAATTTGAAGGAAAGTTCTTGTAAGCTGTATTAGTCCTTGAGGAGTCTTAAGTTTGGGGTTGGAGAAGGTCCATAATGAAACTAGGTTTAGCTCTAAGCCCAGGGTTTTTTGGTTTTGTTGGTAATGTTTTAAAGAGCTTCTACAGTGATTAAGATGCCTATATGTTTGTAAACAGCTGTGTGTTTTAATATATTTCCACTATTAATCAGAATTTCCAATGTGGGATAGTTGGCTGACTTAAAGGCTCTTAAGAACTAATAGTCAATAACATACTAATAAGATTCTTCATGTACATGATAAAAAAGTACCATACTGAAGTAGCTGCGTGTAGTATTACAATGTCTGCAGTGCTAGTGTTGTGTTGTTTTGGTTTGGGGTTTTTCATTTCTCTGTGTTTTTTTTTTTTTTTTATTTCTTTCCATGTGCTCTCTGTCTGGCTTTGTACTGTGTGGTTTCTTTCTTCTGCCTCAACATTTGTCATCCTCTTCCCAGTGGTGGGGTTGGCTGTATGTGCTTGTCTTACCGACTCCATTGGTGAGCAAAGAAAGAAGGAGGTGGTAGAGACAGGCTATGCTTTTTTTCTCTCCTCTCTTGTTGGCCAATACTTTATTTGCTTTCGCTAGGAAAAGACTGTACAAATGGTGGTTATCGGAAGCCTGTGTATTTTGGGAAGGGAGGTGTTAGGACAGGTAGTACTGTATGCTAAGGTGGTGCAGGAGGAGTTGATACCATCACTACCTTTCACTGAAGGCTCCATCATAAGATAACCTCATTGCCTCCCCACCTCAGGACATTTTTTTTATGCCCTATGTGAAATGAGACCAGGTATTTTGAGACAATGAGAGTTAATGACTAAAGAGTCAAATGCCAAAGCCTTCACTCTTAGATTCTTAAAAGCCTGTGGATGTCTGAACAACAGATACTTGAGAGTTTCATAATACTTTGAGACCCGTGGGTTTTTGATATATGCTAATGTAACAGAATGGAACTCTGTTTCTCATATTATTCTACTAGTATCTCTAAAACAAGGTGACTTCAATTTGCAGTAAGAGGAGTGCTGTGTGTCATGGGATTAAGAGGTATCTAAGAAACTCAGGACTGTTTACCGTGTGGTTGTACCTTATGCTGTGTTTAAAATTGACTCCAAGAATAATATCCCCGTTGCCCACAAAACTGGGTTTTTCATGTTCACCAGATTATTCAATAGTCACTTCCTCTTTTTTTTCTGTTTTCTCACTCTTGTAATGTGTTTGGTGCTTCTCTATTTCTAGTTTTGCTTTTCTCTTTATTGGCAATTTTGGGAGAGTTTTTATTAAGTGTTTTTATTTTCATTTGCTTTTTATTTTAAAAGAGAAACAAGTGAAGTTTAATTTATTGGCTTGTGATTAAAATATGTCCTGTCTACTTTGAATTTGTATTAGTCTCGTTTTGATTCAGGACTGAAGTCTATCAAGGAGAACGGTCTGCAGATACTACTTTGATTTCTTATTAATGAAATTCAATTTGAGTTAAACCAGCAAAACACCATATGAGTATGAAATGTGAGTTATCTGACTCTGAAAGTGGCTCAAAAACATCAAGCTGCTTATAGTCCACTGAACAAGTAATTTAATTACTTTGAAGTAACTACACAATGGTTGTTTTTGAAAAGTCAGAAAACCCTACCCCTCACCAAATTCAGAGCAACCTAGAAACCAACCTGAGGCAAGAGAAAGCAAGTCAGTGCATTTAAATAACTCATACTGTTTTGCTTTGTAATGTTTTCATTTGGTTTTAGCTTTCTTTTTGAGTACTAATTACAAAGGAAGTAACAATTAAAAGTTCATTGGGCTTTTCTCCCCCACCATTAAATTCTTACATTAAAAAATAAAACATGCCCAATGTCTGTTGGACAGAAATTTTCTTAAATGCTAGAGGATTTTTCCTTCAAGTTTTGCATGTCACTTGCTCCTTCTCTTAGTTACAAATATTTTTTTTTTTCCTTTTCTGTGGACATAAAACAAGAATGTCGTGGCATGATTTTAAATTTTCAGTGTTTTCTTAATGAGTTTGAAGACATTATGCATTGCACTAAGATGGGAAGTATAGCTTGCCTGCTAACTTTAACCACCTCTCTCTGGGAAAGAAATGTCTTCAACATTATGTACACCTGAAAAGATTTACAAGCCTTTGGAAAAGGTGATGCTGTCATCTTCATTTTTTTGCTCCTGCTTCAACTACAGTGTCACATATCTAATCTTGCAGTTGAACCACTTTGGGCTGGCTAAGTTAACGGGGGAAAAACCAATCCAAACCAAGAAAGAAAACCAGCTGTCCAAGGGTAATCACTGGGTGAAATAAATGCCAGTGCTAATACAAGAACATGTGGAGGGAGATGCAAAGTGGTTCTGCCCCTTCTGTTGTCAGATAGCCATTGGACTGGTTTAGCTTTAATGTGAAGTTGAATCCCTGTGTTTTGAAGAGAAAGGAAGAAGGCTGTCATCACTTTTAATACATGCATTTGAAAGCATTTTTTTTTCTTTTTTCCAGCAAGTACCTGGAATTTATTTAGCTGGGAGCAAATAGTGCATGGTTGTGAGCTTATGTAAAGCAAACAGATATGAATGCAGAGGGATAAAGTGGCACTTTGAGATATATTGTGACATATAAACATGCGTATCTGTGCATTTAGCTTATAGAGTTTTCAGTATCTCATGTTATCCCTGACCAGACAAAGCAACTTATTCCATAAGCAGTTATGGAGCCTTGTTTGCTACAAACTGATGTCCTCCCAAGCCCTGTTTCAAAACTCCTGATATTTGATAACTGAAAATATTTTTAGATTGTCTGCCCTAGCCAACATCTGCTTCAACTGTACATTGAATTTCATGTTGAATTTCAATATGAGAGTTGATTACGTTGTGTTAAAGACAGAGGAGGATCTTCCAAATACTGTTTTCTGGGGCATCCAGGCTGAAATTGGTTTCATAAAGCTGTTGCCTGGCTTTGTATTGTCAGGAGGTAGATTTTTTTGAAAAAAGAGGGCAGTGGTGGTTTTTTTTCAACCAGCACCTCCTTACTGCTTTTGTGGTTTGGTTGTTTTTTTTTTTTTTCTTTTTTTTTTTTTTTTTAAGTAGGAAGTGTTTCCTCTGGTATTTGGCCTAAATTTTTAGTACAATGTTTAAATTGTACTATCTCTCTTCTATCTCTTGCATCCTTGTCTACTCTTTTTTTACATGTACAGTACGAAGAGGTTTTTTACATTTAATAGTATTGATGACATAATGTTTTCCAGTGAGAACACAGAATTATTTGTTGCTAGTTTATACATATTAATCTGTAAACAGTAGAAATACTATTTATGAGGCTACATTTTCTAGGTGTGCAAGGTTAGAAGTAAGTGCATTGAAAGTAGCCAGACAGTAAGTTTGCTTTCTGTGAAGACGCTTAGTGTTTACTGTTCCCGGATGCAAATATACTGCAGGTTAATATGTGGAAGAGGACGTTTAAAAGGGAGAGCTTTCAGAGATAAATATTTACTTTAACATTAAGCATAACGCAGAAAAGATTGGCATAGAACACACTTTTTTGTAATATGTTCTGTCCAATCACAGTATCTAAGATTTAGTGAATGCAAGTTATTTTCAGGTTTAAGATTTTAGGATTCTTATAGTAACTTATTACTTTGCATAATTGTGTCAACTCTAGTTTGTGTTGGTTCATGAGAAATAAATGAATATACATTTACCCTCAACAAGGGTTGGGAATGCACCAGAAGCCCGGTCTGCCAGCTCTTATCACTACATATTCCTTATAAAAGGATTTCTCAATTTGATAACTGGTGTGGACCTGCTGTACACCAAGGAGGCAAAACGTTCAGCATATCTGGTCTTTCATTTTCCTGATGAGTGGCTTTCTGAGTATCAAGTGTGGAAATTACTGTCCTTTTAATGGAATATTTGCCAATACTAAGATCCTTGGGGGGGGGGGGGGGGTGGGGTGTATGTGTATTTTGGAAGCTTTGTGTTTGATATTCTCTTCTTTTTTTTTTCCCCTGAGTCATTACTGAACAAAGCTGCAGGATTCTGCAATCGGTGCATTTCCACTGCATGTTACTGTCTATGCTAGGAATTGTTTCTGCGCACAGCACCTTGCTAAGTTGGACCTAGAATGTTTATATGTATTCCATAAATGCTCTTCTTTTATTTTAAAGATGACACATGTTGATGCCACCATTTTGTGATCCTCGTAGCAGAAGATAGTCCTACTGAGAAAATGAGCACTTTGATCATTCAGTCTTTGAACTTTAACCTTTGACTGGAAGTGACCTATAGGCAATGAAGACTACTTCCTTTGACTGCATTTTTACTAGTGTGCATTCTGGGCGCATGTTGATCGCTGGTTCAGTCCATGCAACTGACATGCTTTTATTAGTCATACAGTATTAATGCAGGTGTCCAGAAGTGTCAGAATAATTCCATTATTTTTATTTTAAGCTTTTGGAAGAATTCCAGGTCTTCATATATTGTGCAATAACACTGAGCTCCTTGGCGGTTTTGGTGCATCCATTGCCGGCAATGGACATTGTACCAGGGAAAGGTTTTGCTCCTGCCACAAAAAAGATTGATGCATGACAGAGCTTAGGAAAGTTTCGAATATATTTGGATTATAAGCAAGGGATCTACCATTACCTTCAAAGCCTCCCCATTCTTTTATATTTGGATTCTATGCACTGTGATCACAAAACTAGCAGCATGAGGTAACATGCTTAGCTGAAGGACTGTAATAAGATCATTGCATATTTATTAAATTGTTTATCTGCTGTCAAATTGTTTTGACATAGAAGGTTTTTCAAGTGACATTGGCAGAGAGGTACAATGTTATCCCTATGGTGAAATAAAACTACTTTTTGTATATAGTTATTCATATCTCTGAAGCAAAGGTATGAGTAATTTAGGGTATGAGTGATTTAATCAAGAATTTATTTTGGACATAGGAGAGGATGGCAGTGATATAACTGAACTTGCTGCAGTCCGTAATTGGGCTTGTAGTTTGTACTTTAGAGCTTTTTCCAAATAGATTGCACACTGTTATTTCCTGCTAGCCATCAGCATGAGCCCTACTGCCTACACCAATATTTCATTTATTTATGTGTTTGAAAGCAATCCATATAACATTTTTTTGTTTGCATTCACTGTTTCTTTTGTTGTTGTATGTCATGTTTGAATGTTACAAAACAATATTTTGATTGAAAAGCTTTGTCAGAAGATATTTTCATGTAAATTATTTCTTTATCTTGTAAGCATCATCTTGTCTTTTAATCCTGTACTATAAAAAGAAAAAAAAAATACATTTTTGACAGAGGCTTAATGTTTTGACAAAAAAGTGTGGACCTTCTTATTTAAGTTTAGACTAAAGAATATTTTCTTAACTAGCTTGTCCCATGCAGCCATACTAATTTTTTTTTTGCAGGCTTTTACTTCACCAAAAAGGGGGAAAAAGCCTAAAATCAGATTGACATTTTTCTGTGGAGCAACATTTATTGAAATTATAGTTGTTCTCACCACTCAGTACTATTTTGATACTGCAATTAGGTTGTCTTTTTAGGAAGCACTTTTATAAACTTAATACCTTTACACATATGCAAAATTTCTATAACTTTTTTTTACTGTTGCCTTATTGTTGCATTCAAAAAAAAAAAAATTAAAAATTCAAGAGATTAATGCACGAATATCTAAATCAAGTAAATACTTGATTTATAAACAAACAAAAGCCAAAAAAAACCACCCCAAACCCAGCCCGAAATGAATAACTACAATAACAAACAGAAAATTGGCTGAAAATACTGATTTTTTTTTTTCTTACTGCTGTATAACTGACAAGTTTTATAGCCTTGTACATACTTCTCTGTTACCTAATGTTTAAAACATTTTAAAAAAAGTGTAGATGTTTAACTCAGGGTGGATAGAGTTTAGATGGATTTGCTTCAGAGAAGTATATTGTACAGCAACTGAATTATGGATATTGCCAGTGAAGTGAGGCTACAATATATACTTCAGGAATTGCTATTTTTTCTACTGTATTGAAAATATCTCTTGGCCTTTAAAACACAATGGTAAAATCTAGCTTTGGATATAAACTTGATGTGTGTATATATTTTCACAATGAGCCTTTTAAACATCGAATTCAGTTTCTTTTAAGAGCCAAAAATAATAATTTCAAGCAAATGAAATGGTTCTGCTCCTAACCTTTTGTTTAGCAAAATGTTATTGTTGTGAGTGAATCAAACTGGTTATTTTTTGAAATAGCTCACAGGAAAGAGCAGTAATCTAATACGTAATCTGTATATTCACGTTAACTGCTCTATATTGATTGAAACAATTGACACATCTTTGAGAAATTCATGTACGAATGGTTCACATAATGGATCCTATCAAATAGTCTGCAGGAAAGAGGCCTGATTGTGACACAAGGTAATGTCTCTGAAGAAACGGTTCAAGTACATCTCCGATTCATGTATCTCTTCATGTGGTGGCTTGCCATGCTACAATACATGGTTTCAGAGAAGCTTTATGACAAACTGTATGTATTTTGTTGAAGATGGGTGTTGTGGTGCAAAGCATTATATGTTTTATTGATTTATGCTATCACATGGACTACAACAAAGTTAAATAATCAGATTTATGCTGCTCTTTAATACCACCCACCCCAATAATATACTTAGATCAAAAAAATGCAAGGTAGATTAGAAGAGAATGTACCTCAGGTCTTTTAGTTTACAGTAGAAATGCCTCCATTGGTTCTCTTGTAGATCTGTGGGTAAGTTCACCTCTATACAGGGGGCCAAGACAAAGCCTGTATACCACTCAAGCCCTCAAAATAATGCAACTATTCTGACTGTGCTATGATGTCCTGAGACAGGGCTTGAATTAGATGAAGGTGTTGCCATCCTTTCTGTAGGGTGACCCTGTGTATGTAACTTTCACTTGGAATTTCACACATGAAATGGTTACAGAATTGGCTTGAGAAGATCTTGCTTTTATTTTGTGTCAATGTTCATGTTGTTAAACACTTTGTTTTGTGTTTAGTGTCTTTATACTATAACACAATAAATTCTTGTTTTAAAATAGATTACTACCCTTGAATGGAAATACGTGTGGACCTTTTCATGGTGGAGTGCAGAAGCACTGTTCCTTACTTTCAGCTACTCTTGAGACAAAGCTCTCGGTAATTCCAGAATGCTGTCATGGATACGAAGGGAGGAATTTGGATAATAGTGAGGTGTTTCCTCTTTTCTCCAGAGGGCATCTGTTGTAATGGCTGAAGGAAATAGTTTCTTTAAAAAAAAAAAAAAAATCACTGATGCTTTAATTTCTCCTAGGTGATCAAATAGTTCCTTATCATAGTTCTTTGCTGTTTGACAAACACTTCAGATATTGAGTGGGGAGTTTCAGATGCAGGATTCTTGTTTGCTTGCAGTGGTGGGAAGAGAGTTTCCATTACTTTGTTAGCATATGTCCGGAGTGTTAAATGAAACTTCTACTGCCTCATATCAATAATTGCTTTTGGTTTTGTACAATTTTTTATTCAACAGATGATGGCTTCTGTTTTGGAAAACATAAAGCCCTTTCATACCTAAAACCCCCCATTTTTTATGAAAAATTAAGTTTTAAAATTCGTATATGTTGTGAATACCATTCTGATTGTTTGTTTTTTAATTATTACTTCATTTGAAAGTTTACAGTTCACATCTCAGGTTTTAAAGTTACAGTCTAAGGAGACCATAAAATTTACATGTCGGTAATCAAATTTTAAAGAGCAGATTAAACAAATGTCTGTCGTGAAAGGTATAAATATAGTTGGCAATAAGACTTTCCAGTCCTGTTCTTGGTGATTTTTTTTTTTCTTGTATGTGTAAATGTTTATTAAAAAGAATATTTTAAAAGCAGAAGGGGGGAAAAAACCACCTGTGGTACTCGTGTTTCTTAGAACACATCCTGTTAATGTTAAAAGCTTTACAATGGTGCATCTATATAATTTCTAGCTTTGGGAGGAAGTCAGTATAGTTTTACCCTCTTCTGGTAAAGCAACTCAGCATTATGTTGTGCTTGCACACTCACAAATTCTGATCATTTAAAAAAAAAATAGGTTTGAATGAACTTTCTTTAAGAACCTGTTACTTTTAATCCAAATCACTCAATCCTGTTTGGATTTGGTCTCATAACCAGTGGTAGCTGAACAGTTAGTTGAGTGTTGAACCAGATAAGGGAATTAAGCTGCCTTAGTGATACCCTATCTTCATCCGCAGCTACAGAGCAGGGTGGGAAAGAGAGACTTGGGATTTGGTTTGTGTGCCAGGTACTTGTTGGCCTATTGTTTCCAGGGCTTCTATGAACTTTTCAAACCATCAGGCTTTAAAATACCTTAATAAAATTGTAAGAGTAGAAACACCATGAGCCTTCTTTTACTATATTAAAATATAATTCAGAAATACAAATTTGAAAATACTTAGTCACTGCTTTTACTTCATTTTACTGGTAACAGCAATTCAGGATATTCTATTCACTTGCCATATTTTGGTTTCCCTCTAGATTTTGAGAGGTTTTGAGCAGTTGAATCAATTCAAAAAATTCTCTCCGGAGCTACTTAAAGTGAGAGTTTTTTAAATTACCAAGCAAGAGCATTTTCACTACCTTCATAGTTCCAAAGTAATTGCTGTCATGAAGTGGCTTCCTTAGAAACCTGTGTAGGTTTCATTCAGATAATTATTTTGTATTTGAAAAACAGAAAGTAAATGGAAAATCAGTTGATCACGCAGCATATGATATCAGTGTGGAGATCAGATTTGTAAGCCTCTGTCCACAGTCTTTTTAGTATAATACTCCACAGGAACTCTTAAGGTGTGTGTCAGTGATAGCAGGCTAGATTGTATTTAACCCACTTCAGTTTACATACATGCTACCTGCCAAGTGTAACTTTGTCATCTGAAGTGTTATGTTTCTCTCGACTTGTGCAGGTAAAAGAGCTGCTTACCAGAAAAAAAAAAAAAAAAAATCTACTTTTCTGGAATAGGAATCCAGTGAATAACTGAAAACCATAATGATAGCCTCAAAGAAGGATGTTACGATATGAAATCCTGTAACACTGACCACAGTTGCTTCCCTCATGCTGGTCTGTCTTTTGGTATTTAAAATATCCATGATAAAACCTTAGAACTTATGTATTTTCTTCAGCAGATGGAAACCTATTCTCTTGGAGCCCTTTGGAGTGCTTTCTGCCAAGTAGTTCAGGGTTAAATCTGTTCAGATGAACCTTCTGGGCCCTTTCTCTGGACTGTTATCTCGATGGTACTTATGCAGTTCTCCGGGACATTTTATCCTTAAAGATAAAATCAAGCAGAGTTCCTGCTATTCAGTGTCTTCTCTTAGTTTGCTGCCACTGAAAAGGAGGAATTTGTACTCCTCCTTCCTTTCCAGCCCCATGATTCGCATTCCTACCTTGGGTCTAGTTTTATTGTCTGAGTCTGCACTGAGATGATTTAGTGTATTAAACCAGTAGGAAACTCATTTGAGCAGAAAAAGTGAAAATCTTCTCAATTAGCAAATTGAATCAGCTTGCTGCATAATCAGGAGTTTCAGAGCTAGTGTAAGAAATGGAAAGGATTGTGCATCTGGGGTTCGGTAGGTGATGGCTGAAACCTGATTCGTATCTTTAGACTTTCCGGCATAATGTGAAGTACTAGAAACCTTGTTTTATGCAGAAGCTATGTGCTATGAGAAGCCTGAAAGCTGGAGGTCTGGACTACCTGTGAGAATCTGTGGCAGGGGGGATTCTCCTATCCGTTGTAACTCTGTTTTCTAATAAAAATTCTGAAGTTGTTCCAAAGCCTTCAGGTGATCTGTTACCTCTCTACTTAGATGCCTTGACTTTCTGTGCCTGGGATTTTTTTGGTTGGCTTTTTGGGTTTGGTTTTTTGTTTTTTGTTTTTTTTTTTTTTTAATAACAAGCCTGCTAGCATGGTTCTGTGTGGATATTTTTGGTTAAGTTTTTATCACACCAACCTTGTCAAACCTTAATCAAATAGAGTTACAGATTCAGTGAAGCTGCTCAGAAATACAGTTATATTCCAAAAGGAAGGCATTCATTATGTAACAAATCAAGTGTTCTTGAGTTTAAATAGAAAGCCAAATGTGTTAGTCATCTTCTAATATAGAAAACACTTGAGACAGGAGTCTCATACACATCACATTTGTCTATTGTGTGTTTAAAGAATAGGACTCTTGCACTGTGGTAGGAGGTTTTCAAGACAAACCTCAGTGTTCCTTGTCTCACCCCTTACTCTGAAGATCTTGTTCAAAAGATGGATGAAATTTGATGGTTTTGATCTCAATTTATGATTTGTGCTGGGTCAGTAAAGAATGTGTAACAGCTGTTATTCTGACCGGTGACGAAGTATGAATAGCTTGACTATCTTTCTCTTAAATTGTCCATATGTATACAGAAAACATTGGTAGCTATATTTCACAACCACAAAATAAAGTACACCTTTATTTATTTGGTGTAGAAAATTTATTGAAGATTAGTACTTTGAAAGTAGCAGTGTAGGAAGTGTACATCACTAAGTTAATGAGTCACAAAGACAAACATCCAATCTCTAGATGACTTAGAGTGTATTGAACATGAAGTCTTGATTTGCATAAGGATTTGAGTTTACAGGGGAAAAAAAAATTGGGGGCATCACCTGGCACTATTGTTTTGTATCACACTGAGTTTTGGACTAGTCTTGTGTATCTGTGCATTGTCATATGCCCCAAGCAGTAACTTCTGTCTTAAGCGTCATGCTGGGGTAGCAGGTGACTTGGGCTTCCTTAAACAAGGGATAGTCCAGACAATCCTGTGTTGAGAATGATATTCCAAATGCTCCTGCCAGTTGTTTTGACTAACACAATGAGGATGTCTTATAGAGATGAGGTATGCTCACAAAGTGGGGTGGGAGGGAGAAATGAGAGGGGCAGCAACCAGTTTTTGAAGGTTAAATTTGATAGATTTCTGAAGATTCTCAAGAATCAGTGGCTGGTGGTTGAGTGGGTTTTTTGGAATTTTTTTTGTGTGTGTTTGTTTGTTTGTTTGGGGTTTGTGGTTTTGTTCTGCTTTTTTTGGTTTGGTTTTTTGTGTTTTTTTTTTTTTTGTTTGTTTGTTTGTTTTTTTTTTTTAAAGAGGACAATAGCAATTGCACCAAGCTGTAATTCTTATGTTGCAAAGTTCTCCAAAAGTAGAAGAGGGCAAATGCAGTGCAACTATGGTCATGATACATCTGAACAATCAAGGTCTGTATGAAAACCAATATCAGAGTTTGTTGGGATACGCTATACTAAGAAAAACCACCGGTCCAATCAAACTTTACAACTCGGAGGATGGATAGGCCTCTCCGTGAACTGAGGTAACAGGATTCTTTTTGCTGTTGCAATAATTTTTCCAGAAACCCAGGTAAACTGAGCAAAGTAGACTTCTTACTGTGCCTGACAAGAGATTCTGAAGTCTTGCAGTTAAAATATAGACCTGGTATGGTACTTCACTGTGTGTTTTTGTAATTCTGAAAGTTCCTACTGTCAGCTTCCCTCCTTTCTTTAGGAATAGACTAAATCCTATGTAGATGTTACTCATGTCTTCTGGTATCTCAGGTGCTACTAGGGAATGTCATATAGAAAAGCTTGTGATTCTTTTCTATAAAAACTTCTCTGAATAGTTCTTACGCTCATCTAAATGTCATCTACTTCTGTAGTTTCTTCATCAGATACTTTACAATGCTTTGGGTTCTTTTAAAAGTCATTTCTGTGCAACACTCTTTGAAAGTGAAATTTATAAAGGTTTACCATTTGATGGGAATTGTCATTTCACCCAGAATTTTCCTTACATTCGTAACTGTAGCATGCAGGGCCATAAGCCTTATGATTCTTCCTGAATGATTTCTGAAATGTAAATCCATCTAAAGTTTTTATCCACTATTGGATGTACCTGGGTAAGTATGACAGCCTTGTGCCAGCCAGCCCAGTCTGGATCATCCCTCCCTGCACCTCATGTGTAATGTCTCAGAGCTTTCTTTGGAGTAAACCAGAGATCTAATTGGAAGT